TCTTTTATGTTTGAATTTTTTTGTCTTTGGAAAACATTTAGCATATTCTCAGTTTCCCAGCATTCTGAAATTTCAAAATGTTGTGCCTATGAATTATTTTTCATTAATAACACGAGGCACATAGTGGGTGTTTTCACTCTAAAACTTCAGGTCTTTCAGTTCTGTGAAATTTTCTAATTACTTCTGTAGTAGTTTCCTCCTCTTCATAATATCTTTTCTTTTCTGAAACACCTATTTTTTTTTTTTTGGATGGACCCACTGGGTTGATCCTGTAGATTTTTGCACAAGGGGGTGGTGTTTGTTTTTATATATTCCCTCCTATTCTCTCTATTTCTTCCTCAGTGTGTTTTGCTTTCTGAAATACTTCCTTAACTTTATTTTTCAAGAATGAGTGTTTTATTTCTGCAATTGTAGTTTTAATTCCCAGTAACTCTTTCTTATTCTCTAAATATTCCTTTTTATGGCCTCTTATTTGCATTAGAGCAGCATAGTTTGCATGGTGGTTGAGATTATAAACCGAAGAAGCAGATTGCCTGGGTACAAACTGCAGCTCAACTGCTTAACCAGCTGTGTGACATCTGACAACATGCTTACATGTTATGTGGCTCAGTTTCTTCAACTGTAAAATGGGGATAATAATACCATCCACTTCATGTAGGGTTATTGTGAAGACTCAGTAAGCTGCTGTGAAGGCACTTGGAGCAGTGTCTCACCCATAGAAAGTGCTCTGTACACTTCAACTATTGTTATTATACATGCAGTAGCTCCTTTCCTCTTTGTGAATACAGTAATTACAGGAATTTTTTTTTTTTGAAAATGCTTTTCTCCTTCCTTCTTCGTCTCTGCCCTTTTTTCCTGTTTGTAGTTAGCTGTTTGTTTTGTTTTGGCCTCTTTCTTTCATATTAGAGGCATTCCTGAAACATTTCATATTTTAACAGTGAGGAATTAAAATGCTGATTGGATGCTCTGTGTGTTTGCATTGGTTTGCTGGCAGGTGGGCTTCTCTGTAGGTAATCCGCTGGACATTCCATTGTATAACCCCCGAGTGTAGGAGGTCTTGGGCTGCTTAGTTTCTTGCCTGAGGGTATAAACCTGGCAGCCAGAGTTCTTAGAACTGAGCTGGGTAAGGGGACCCAGGTCTTCTGGTTCACTAGGCCTACTTCCACTTATCCCCACTGCTTTCAGCAGATGCTACTGCCTCTGCTGAGCCTCATGTCAGGGAGCCTGAAGTACCTCTTCAGAGTCTTCCGTTAGGGTTGGAGCTGACAATTGCCTAGTTCTGCAGAATAGTAGAGGGGAATCTGAGAACCTGTCTGGTTCATATATAGACATTTAACAAATACTCCTAAGTTCATTATCACTTGCTCATCTGCTTCTAGCTCTAAAATTCTATGACTATTTTCGTCTTTCATTTTTTCATTATCTTTATAAATGCATGCAGCTTTAAAAAAAATCTCTTTTTTGTCATGTTTTTGAAGTTTGGGAAGGACACATAAATGCACGTGTGTGTCTAAAAATCTGCCACTCTTTACAATGAACACTTTTGAGTGCATTTCTAATGATTTTGGGTTCTGTGCAATGAACCATGAATAATGAGGACCACAGTCCACATGATTAGTAAACAGAAGAGGCTATGGCAGAGTCATCAGTCAGGGAGCTGAGCTCTGAGTCTTGGGAAGGCACTGCCCTGATCTGCCAACGGGCTCTCAGGATGGGATAGCACCTCGTGTGTGGACTGGCTGGCACGGCTCGGGTGGCAGTGTGTTTTCCCAGGACTGCCACTCATTGGCTTTGTAACCTTGGACAGTTAGAGACTCTGACTTCCATTACCTCCCTTGTGAAAATAAACACATCTCTACTTCTCAGTTTTGTATGAGACTTAGCTATTATATAAACTGTAAATTTCTGTGTGAATATTGGGAGCCATTCTATTTTAGTTGATCGCCCATCTTAGCTCCCAAATATATCAATCTGTGCCCATCTATTTCACAGCACAAACCACACTACAGTTAAATTTATATTCTTCTGTTCTTTACATTAGACAAAGCTGCTTCTAGGCAAGTATCTTGCTCATTATTTACTTAGCTCAGTATCTTTGAGTTCTAGCACTGGACATGGTACATAGTAGGTGTTTAGTAAAATGTTGGCTGAATAAAGAGGAGACAAGAGCTATATGTTCCCAGAATTGGACCCACAGTCTTGACCTCTTTAGTCATAATTTCTAACCATGTATATACTATTAAGAGAACCCCCTTTCATGACAGAAGATCCATTCTTCATAGCCTCTGGGCAGCCATTGGCCTGGTGATTGCCGCTGGCCTTAAATACCTGGGGGCAGACCCTGCTAAGACCAACTGCACGTCCTATTTCCCATCTCTTGAGCCATATGTTTAGCAACTTATATTTAATAAATACAGCAGCGGTATTTGATTATAGCGAGCCTGGTGATAGTTAAAGTCGATTGCCAAGGAAATAGAGTTAGAATCCTGAATTGTTTTTATGTATTGCAGTGGGCAATTGGAATGCCTCTTCCATGTGGCACTGACTCTGTCTGGACCGCACAGCCCATTCCCCGTCAGATGGTTCCATTTTGGGTCAGTGATGATTGCAGAGAACAATGTGCAGAGGCAGGTGATCCCCAAGGGGTCCATTTGATTTCAGTTCTTTCCCCTCGATTGCTGTACCGCTGCAGACCAAGGGACTTTGGCACAGTTGGGCTTGCATCCTTACATTTTTAATCGGCACATTGGTATTTACGAGGCTGGCTCTATCCAGTGCTTTGGAAAGGCAGAGACAATGGTTGGAAGAGAATAAATGCCTCATATAAAGGTTAGTGGAGATTGTTTTCATGCTTCCAAAGGCGGGGGTGGGTTCTTTTATCTGCACCAGTTCACCTGCTTCCAGCTGTCACAGTTCTGAGGAGCATCCACAAAGCTGCCGAATGCTCAGCCAGAGGGGAAGGGGTTGCCTGCTGCTCAGTCTTCAGAGTGACATTTTCCCTTCTCTGACCACCCTGCCAATCCCCAGAATGCATTTACCTCCCTTCTTGAGGCTGCCTGGGGAGTGCTTGCTATCCTTTGCCCTGGTGGGAGGAGGTGGCGTCCTCTTCCATCATTGAATAGAAATTATAGAAACTTCCCTAAAGATATTTCCCTCTGGCTCACCTGTTCAGCTTATTAATAAAGCAACTCTGTAGCTTCAGGGGGGAAAGTAACTTGGTATGAGCCTGTGGTCGCCCTTAGAAAAAAAGGGCTCCATTCAGATCCCATGAAGAGACACACACCTCTCTCGGTGCCCCTTGCTAAAGCTTTTGTGAATGCTCTTAGAGTCTATTACGGGGAGGCTGGCTTTGGCATATTATGAATATCAATAGAGTTCACATCACCATTCTCCCTATCATAAAGAAGCATTCATACAATATTCACCAGTGTAGTGGAGACAATAAGTCGGCTCCCCTCCCCAGCCTCTTTCCCTCCTTGTCAAGGCGAATCAGCTCAGTGAGGAGCGTGGGCAGTCTAGCTTCAAGTAATTACTCTGAAACCTGGACTCTTGAGCCGGCAGCCGCTGTTCTGTGTGTGTCTGTCACATATCCTTCATGAGTTCCTTCTTCTCTAAATGTTCTTTTCATCTTGCAGTTATCTATTTCTCTCTCTTGCTCTTTTTCTGTGCTTTCTCTAAGAATTCACAGCCAGGCTAACCCTTCAAGGGACTTTTGAAATGTCACTGTGACCCCCTGCTCAATAGCCAGGACCACTGAGTCCTTTTCTCTCCATAGAAAGACCAAACACCTTCCAGCTGGAGTTTACAAATGTCTCAAAGTCATAGAACCTTCTTAGTTAAAAATAAAATTAAGCCTCTTTGCTTGAGCGGTAAAGTCTTAATGGCCTACATAAGGCAAATGGCAATAAAGCAAAACAAGTGCTGCTTTATAGCCAACCATTCATGTGAAAGAGGTATGTAAAATAATGATAATAGTCATAACAACAAGTAGATATTAGGGAAGGAAGGCTAGAAATGGGGGCTGCAATGAAATGATCTTTCCCATTCATGTGATTCCCTGTGTAACTCCTGCGAAACAAGTGTGATGCCTTTCCTGCCTGTGTGGGGAAACCTGCACTAAGCCTGTGCCCCCTTTTTTGATGTGGTCTTTAATTGTGCACAGCTGCATGGTGAGGATGAGGCTGCCATCCTGACTCAGGTGAAGGGAAGAAGTTGGCCTCTTTGCCTTCTATTGTGTTTATCTTTTGCACTAATACCAGAGTCACCCAGCTATAGTTGGACACAATTCTTCTACAGAGGCCCAAAAGGCCATTGTCCAGATCTTGGTCATTTGAGAAAAACCATCTGAGACAAAGATTTCTTGCATAGTTGGGTCTTGCTCTCTGGAGAGAAGCCTAGAGGCATTGCAATGTGCTCTGGGGTGTGGGGGTTTAGAGATATTTTGGGACTACATGGTACTGGCCAGGGGTAGCCAAAGCAGCATCCCTATACTCTCCCCAAATCAAAACCACTGCAAACAAGTTCTTTGGCATCAGAATTATCCAGTTTTATGTTATTTTGCATCTTTATATCCCTTTTGGGCTTTCTCTTTTGTTACCCCCAGCCTTCAGGAAATCTTATTTAAGTATTCCCTCTGTTCTCAGCTGTGCTATAGGGTTGGCAGGACAGGATCCTGACTCATGTTTGTTCAGAACTCTAAATAGGAGTATCTCTGTCCCCAGACCAGCAGTGGTAGCCCCAGTAATTAGCAAAAGATTTCCCTCAGGCAGCGTTTTCCAAAGTGGGTTGTATATTATGTGTGTTCTGTTGGGCTATTATTAAGCCTTGTGGGGCAAAGCAGGCCATGGTCCAATCAGTTTGGGGAATACTGGGTTAAGCAATTTAAACAGGTTTATTCCCAGTAATACTTCTCAAGGCCTTTGTATTAGTTTTCTGCGGCTACCGTAACAAACTCCCACAAAGTTGGTGGCTTAAATCAGCATAAATTTATTCTCTTACAGTTCTGGAGACGAGAAACCTGAAAGCAGTGTCACGGGGCTGAAATCAAGGCGTTGGCAGGGCTGTGCTCCTTCTTGGAGGGCTAGGGGAGACTCCATTTCTTGCCCCTTCCAGCTTCTGGTGGTTGTCAGCATTTCTTGACTTGTGAGTATATCCAGTCTGCAAGGCCAGGATCTTCAAATCTCTGTCCACTGTATCTTCATATCACCCTCAGAAGTGTATATGTGAAATCTCTGTCTCCCTCTTGTAATGACACATATGATGGCATTTACGGCCCAACTCGATAATACCAGATAAGCTCCTCCTTTCAAGACCCTGAATTTCATAATATCTTTTGCCGTGTAAGGTAACATTCAGAGATTCCAGGGATTTAGAAGTGTATATATCTTTTCGCAGGGCCACTGTTCAACCCACCCCAGCCTTTAATACGTTCTGAGTACTGTGGATCTCTAGGATGAGCTGAGAGTCACAGAGTGTTTCTTGAACCTCAGTGACAAGGCAACTCTCCTTTCACGTACTTTTTGCTGGATTGGTATTCTGAGGAATACACTTTGGAAAATCTTAGCAAGAGAAGATGAGTCTTGGAGAAAAGTCAAAGCCAATCAGTCCAGCTGCCCTTCTCTCTGTGGATCTGGATTTTATTTGACTGAGGCAGATGGCACTTTCCTTGATTCAGGAGATGATATCATCACACAGACAAACTAGGGAAAAAATCAGCAATTTCACAGGGACACCTAAGCCAGACTCCACAGGTGAAGAATCTCTAGGGAATGGTAAAGATAGCATTATATTACAATTTCAAAACCTGGATTGGATTCTTGGTCCCCCTACATATAAGCTACATGATCCCAGGAAAGTATTTCAACTTTCCTAAGACTCTGTTTTCTCATCTATGAAGTACAGATAATAACCACACCTACCTGCTTGTGTCATGTGAATACCATCTGTAAAAGTGCTTTATTAAAAGAAAACTTTATAAAATCTAAGAAATTATTTTTATTATGTGAAAAATAACTTAAAAAAAAAAAAGTTCTTGTCTTACAGGATGGTCTTGGTGACGGGGGGGTAGAGCTCTGTTCCTCTTCTCTGGAGATCAAGTTGTTCTTTCTCAGCAAAAGCCCAGAGCAATACAACTGTGCATTCTCATGTACTGTTATATTTCCAATTCTTTGAATCCAGTGTGTGTTCTATAAATGTGAAAGGAATGAACTGTCCTTGCCTATATCTCTTCTCCCTTTCATCCGTTCCACAGAATCATAGAATATTTGGGCTGGAAGGGCCCTTGTGATGTTGTCTAGAATAATAGCTCCCAAATGCTAATTTAGGGACCTGCAAAACCTGGCCTACATGAGAAGCAGCTGGCAGCCCATTAAATACAGTTGCCAGCACCACCTTGGGGATTCTGATTCAGTGAGTTTGAGATGGGACCTGGGAATCTGCATTTTAAGAAGTTCCGGGTGACGTGATACAGCAGTTTCATACACTGATCTAACTTTTCCCACCACCTTCATATAGAACCATGCCTAAAATATCACACTAAGCAATCTATTTTAAAGATTTTCATGAAATTCTTGCAACTTCCTTCACTAGAGATGTGCTGTGTACCAAGTGGTCATGTGAGACAGCCACAGCCCCCTTTTGGCTCATTCAATCATTCATTACTCATCCATCAATTCATACAGGCATTGATTGTGTACCTACTACTTACTCTACGGCATTTCCTCTCAGGAGGTCCCTTGTCGTCACAAACGCCATGATTTAAAGCCTCTCTCCTTTTTTGCCTTGAGTAAGTAGAGATATAGGAGGGCTTGCCTTTCTGCTTTACTGTCTGCTTTTCTCTTTTTTAGGGATTATCTCTAAAGTAAGGAGGAAGCATTTCTTCCCCTAAATGATGAATCACTGAATGCCTCAGAATGATGGATCATTTCTCAGGGAGGGTCCCTGAGAAACGCAATCCTCTAAAGTGTAAGGTAACATAATCTCCATTTCCCCAATTAAAAATAATCTCGATAAGTCAGGAGCTTTGAATGATTTTCCTGATGTCAGAATCAGGACACGTATGGCCTAGGTTTCCTAGCTCCTATCCCCTTTCATTCCTTAAAGTAATATTTATTCAGAATTTTTGATTCTAAAATTATGTACATGAGAGCAATGTTCTCCAATTTCAAAAATACTATCCTTCAAGTATTCGTCTGACTGGGTTGAAGAATAGTCCCTTTCTTCTGCAGAACTCATAATTACTTATTGACATCTTCTGATACTCACCAGCCTATGCTTATAAATAAGTATCACGTGCCCCAAACTGAGCTAGCTAATACCTGTTAAGTGGTGGATAAGTAAAATATTGTTAACTATATTTTCCTAGGCTGCAGTGGGACCTCAAGTTTGTTTGTTTGTTTGTTTGTTTGTTTGTTTGTTTTCAGAGCCTCTCCAGCACTGGAGGGTAAAAGTGCTTGCACCTGAGCCCTGTTGCTCCTGTCTTTACTTTGCCTCTGTTCCAGGGATGCTCTGATCATTTGTCACCAGCAGTCTCCAACGCTGGCAGGGAGGCAGGTTCTCAGGCAGCTCTGAAAGCTGGCATGCGATCTGCTGGAGTAGGGGTACAGCAGCTGGGAGCCTCGCTGTCCCTTTTCCTTTTGTTACTGGACTCAAACTTCGCAGGGCCCAAGGATGGTGCTGTCCTCCTGTAGTGAGTCACATCCTGTGTGTCAGAGAAGCATGCCAATCACAGAATTTCTATCTTCCACTTTTAACAAAGGTCTATCGTGTCTTATTATGTTCTTCCACATAAGAGTCTCTGAATGAAGGTGCTATCTTTTTTTGCTCACATTTATCCAGAAGTCAACAGAAGGAATGTGTAGGTATCAGAGAAAGGATCAGGGCCAACAGCTTGGGACTCAAGTCTGGGGATAGATTATGGCCATAAGATTGTGGTGGTCTTCCTAAGGTCAATGGGAAACTACAGATTTGCTGTATTTTCCAAGACGAAGAGAATTACATGCTGGTGGCCCCAAGGAAAGGGCAAGATGACTTGTGTTTTTTGGTATGTGTGTCTGACAAGTAGAAAGGGCTTTTGCTTTGATGAGGTTGGTGTTCCTTTTATTTCTTTTCTTCCTCCCTTTCTTTCAAATTGTTGACATTTTCATTTACACTTAATATCATGAATTTTCATTTCATTTACTGGGAAGGTCATTATTCAAACTAGCCCCTTATGCTGTTAGCAGTAAAACCAGAAGTTCAGAGGACAAAGAAATTAACTGTTTGAAGGTTAATAGATAGTATGAATTATGAAATTTAGAAAATCCCCACCTTTTCCTCTCTCTTCTCCTACTCCACTTCAACCAGTAGTCCAAATCATTTGAACAGTGATAAAACTATTTTGCATACAAATGCACAACACTTAGGTCTCCTTATTGATTCAAATAGCTCACCTGCCTCTTCTCCTCCACCCCAGCCCACCACCATTCCCCATCACCTTCCTTACCCCAAGAGAGACTAGATTGGGAAACTGTCACTCTATTTGTAAAACTGTGAACACAGACCTAGCCCAGCAGATCTGACACTTGGTGTTTGTCCCCTGACATTCAAAAGGACATTTGTGTATTTCCTGAGGAGAGTCACAGGAAGCCACCAAAGTCAGCCGTTGTGGCTACCCTTCTGGGATAACTGGAATGGAAAGACATGCCTCATTGTGTCTCAGCTTTGGATTTACTTTGATGTCGGGAAATGGAGAGTAGAAGGGGAAAGTGTAGGGCAAAAGGAAGACAGATGAGTGGTTAATGGAGGCTGAAGGGGCAGATTGAGAGAGAATACGCTCACAATAGACAGAAGATGGATTGATAGATTGGACCTGGAGATGTAAATACGATAGTTTATTTAAGCTGCTTAGAGTCTCTTCTTCTTATCTATCCATCTATTTATCTATCTGCCTTAAGCAGGGACTGATAGGGGAACAGACAGATAACATGAGAAGGATGGATTAGCAGCAGACTGGGAGCCTCGTGGCGTCTCAGATTCCAGGAGAGCAAAGGGACCCGCAGATAAGCATCAGGAGGACAGATTACAGAGCTTCCCTGAAGGATTTCCTGCCCCTTCTGTGCCCCAAATAAAACAAGACCAGTGTCCAGACAGAGAAGGTTACTGGGGCATCAGAGAGCCCGTTCCCACACTCCCCTGCTCCCACCCCTCCTCTAACAATTTGCAGCTGTTCTCTTCTTCGACCCCAGAAAGTGGACAGCTGCCAATCTGAGAAGGAAGCTGAAAGCAGGGCTTGGTGCTAGCATATATTTTTATCCCAAAGCCTTGCTTTAAATTCCAGTCAGGCTTCCAGTCTTGCAACAACAACAGGGGAAAGGAAGAGGAGGAAAAAAAAAAGAAGGAAAGCTAACCGTGCTCCGGCTGTTCGGGAAAGCTGTCAGCTGTCAGGTCTGCTTAACTGACAACCTGTTCTCCAGAGCCCCAGGGGGCCTGGGAAGGAGAGGAAGAAGTGAGGGCCAGTCTGGGTTGTGGGGCCTTTGCCAGCCTGCACACAACTACATGCTGAGTTTCCGCCTCACCCACCAGTTCAGGCCCATCAGGGCAAGGCCCAAGGCTAAGCAGCAAGCCTGGGGGTGGGGCACAGGGTGTGCAGTAGGACCCACTCTATTCCACGAGTCGTCATGGAGCAGAGGGGCCACAGGGTCCAAAGCTGCTGGGCTATGGATAGATCAGGCCACTGAAGGACACCCTCCTTCATTGGGACAGGAGAGGTTCCTTACGGCTAGGGAAATGAGGAAGAAGAGAGTGAAGATTTCCAGAGGCTTCCAGAGCTCAGTCCAGACTCAGAGGTGCAAGGAAATCCTTCCTTCGGCCTCTGCCACCTTGGTACTGGGAACAGCCTTGAGGCTAGCTAACAGCCACTCCAAGGGCTAGCTGGCCCTTTCTACTTCTCATCTATACACACTGGCTTGCATGATCCTTTTCCTTTCTCTTCTTCCCTTTTCCTTCTCCTGGCTCCAAATTCCTAAGTATGAAATTTCCACCACTCGCAAGATAACCTTCTTCAGGGCAAATTCTTGTGTCAAGTTGGAAGACATAACTGGGCTTGGTTCCAGTCCCCACTACTTACTATGTGACCTTGATTTCAGTCCCTAATGCTTGCTCAGGTGTGATCTTGGGCAAATCAGTCTTATCTCTACAAGGGAGATATTTTTTAGTCCACAAATCAAACAAAATTGTGCATATGGAGACATTTCATAAACTAGAAGAGCCTATAAGACATTCTGTTCTGATTTACCTTTATTTCTTTGACAGCCCCTAGAACAAAGACTTACACCATAGGCATGCAATAATAGTCAAATGAACAAATAAACACATGGATGAATGGGTGTAGTAGAGAAAAGTTCCCCTGTGTTTGCTTGTGAGAAGCAAGGGAGATTGTTTGGGACTAAGCAACAGCAGCCTTGAGGCTAGCTGGTAGGTGCTGGACCCCACAGGACTCCCTGTGGCCCTACAGAATCAGAGGCGCAAAGATGGGGTCTAGGGATCTGTATCTCAGCTGGCTGCACAGCTAGTCAGTGTCTCAAAATTGGGACATTTCTGTTCTAAGTAGGAAAGCAGAGGGCAGATGACAAAATTTTGTGATATTTTTTAAGGGTAGAAATGACAGAATCATTGAATCCCTGAACATAGAACCGTGCCTGACAAACAACACATTGATACCTCAGGATGCAGTTTTCTTCATGAGTGTCACAATAGATTTTTGAGAGAAGGTGGGAGACTCACTAATGAATAAGGCCTGGCCTCTCACCCCGAAACAGTGACACTGAATATCATGTTGCTGAAGAGCAGCCATAGACTTACAGGTGGGGCCTTACATGCATGGAGAGAATATCCCAAGAGGATGGCGTGGCAAGACCAGGGGGAGGCAGGAGAGGCCCTGAGGCACAGAACTTAAGGAGGCACCACTCAGA